CATGATTTGGAAGGACAAAGGAAGAAACGATACTTTGTCACAGAAACAAGATTGAAAAAGTTTGAACTCGTAGCTGGAAGTGTTGAGGGTAAATCTGAATTTAGAAAAATATTTGAGTGAGCCAAGGGAAGCCGTTCCTCCTTATTTTGATGTGTTGAGTTGGTGGAAGTTGAACTATCAAATATTTTCTATTCTTAGTTCAATAGCTCGTGATATTTTAGTCATCCTCATCTCCATAGTGGCTTCCAAATCTGCATTTAGTTTGTGTGGACGTGTTCTTAGAAATTCTAAAATACTCAATGTGGAAAAGATTTGAATATGTTAGCAACTATTGAAGAATGTAATTCTCTCATTTCTATTTGTTATTTCTTTACTAATACCAACCTATATAATATTAATGTTTCTCTTTATTCTCATTTAAATATAATCAATTTTCATAAATTGTCTATTCACTTTGTTTTTAGGTGTCACCCGGTTCTACTTTATGATGATGCAAAGAAGTGAAGATTATTTCTTTCAAGAAAACCAACCGATCTTGTAAATTATATTTATTTTTAGTTTAGTTTAGTTTTTTCTTTTTTTCTTTTTTCTTTTTTTTTTTTTAAAAAAACTTAGAATCACATATTATGTTATATTATTTAGTATAATATATTCTTCACAAAGTTTAAACTTAAGTACAATAACCTTCTATTAATACCATTATTATTATTATTATTATTTTTTATTTTTTTATTTTTTTATTTTTATGCAGGGACTAATGAGTGGATTTTGGAGAATTGCATTTGATGTTATTGACCGGCATGGATGAATGAGTGGATGATAGAAAGTTGTCTATTGATAAGATGATGCAGTTTGATTTATTTTTTTGTTATTATTAGTATTTGTAACTTATTATGTTTCTAAAACTTAAATGACGATGAATATGGTATTAACTTTTGAAACTGAATGATGGTGCATTTGTGTTAGGTTTAAGTTGTGGTTAATTTTAATTTTCTTGGCTAAGTATGAATTATTTAATTTTATTTTTAAAATCATGAATTATTCAGATGTTCAAATGTCTCTAGAGACTAGAATACACGTAGATATAGTTAATGAATTGAATGAATGAGTTCAATCTAAAAAAAAAATCGGTTTAGTTCGATTTTTAAAAACTTTGGTTCGGTTTCGGTTTCAACTTTTACAAATCGGAAACCGATCAAATTTGAAAGTTCGGTTCGGTTTGAACCGAACCGACCGAATGCAAACCCCTGTCAGTGATGTAATACTCACTTAGTTATTTTGAAATTTTTTCTTCAATCTATTTTTGGCTCAACACATGGCTCACTATTTCTTTTATTGGGCCGAAATCCATCTCTTTTGGGCTTTGATATTCTTGGACTACCTCCCTTTTGCGTTTGGATCATGTAACATTTATCTCAAACCGAATATGTCACTTTACCTGCACTTCTCCGTCTTAACTGTCATTCCGCCACGTTAATTACTCTTTTTAATGTAACATTTTTGTTTAAGCAATAATAACATTTTTTGTCCAAATAAAACTGAATTAATTAATATGGATCTCACTCAAATAAAAGAAGTCACAACTAGTAATATATTGCATATATTATATTATATAAGATTCAATTATTTAAATATATATTATATATATCATATCTTATTTTATATTAATAATAAAATGATATTTATTATTTCTTTATATAAAATTTTATTATTTACAAAATAATATACATATTAATTATAAGTATTAATTTATTTATTAAATTAAATTATTTTTTTTTTCATATTATTAAATTAATATTTTATTTTTACATCACATTATTTATTATATAATATTATAATTAAAAAAATTATAATCCAAGGCACACACTTTACATATTCGTTCGACAATCTTCCGATTGATCCGTTTATTCATTTGGATTGAAAAAAATGATACAAAACATAGGGCAACTAACTTATCATGTAACAATATACCCAGTCGCATTTTCGGGTAGCGGTTACAGATTCTCACGTCATAAAAAAATATATATATAGCTTAGAAGTTTTCCCGTCGAGCGTGATTCGCAGGTATTAGGTTCAGCCAAGAGTTTACCAATACGTACTTTCGGGGAACGACTGCGGATTCCCACGTCATAAAAAAAAATATATATATAGCTTAGAAGTTGATAAAGTGGAAAAATAATAGAAAAACTGGGTTTGTGATCTTGACGTAGTGCATGCGCAACTCCTAGATATCTTGATCATGTTGTAGCACAAATTCACCACCATGTAGAAGAATTTATTAGAATAAATTAGAGCCGTTAAAATGGGTTGAGCCCGTCAGGTTGACCCGCCTCGCCTTATTTTTAAGAGGGTTGGGTTGTGATTTTTCAAGTCCTTTAAAATGCGGGCCTAAATGAGCCAACCCGCGTGGGCTGCGGGTTGAGGGTGGGTTAGCTCGCAATGGGGCGGGTTAGCTTGCCGGCCAATTAAATATAATAATTAGTACTCACCTGTCTAACTAAAAGTATTTTTTTACCATTTTTTACTATCACACTAAAAAATTATAATAAAACTAATCAAATATTAATATCAGAATATATTTTAATTTTATATAAATTACAAATATACCATTAATTTATAAATAACGTACAAAAGTAAAAAGTATCAAAATCATCTTGCACACTTTATTTAATAAATAACATATGATTACTTTTAAGAAATATTTTAAGTTAAGACGAATAAAATAAAATTTATATTATCATTAGTTTAAATAAATTATCAATATGTCTATAGGTTTTTTTTTCTGTTATCCATGTCATTGTTGTTTGTTTCGATTTTTCATCATTTATTTTGTTCGTCTTCCATTTTATAATTTCATAATTTTACAAATTATAAAATTAATTATAATTTATTTTTAAAATGGAGTATTTCTTATTATTAATTTTGTTAAATACACCAACTAATAATATATAGAATTGAGAATTTTTATATTTGTTATTTATTTTAAAATATTTATTATTTAAATTTTACAATAAAACTATTTTTAACTATTTTTAAATATTAATTACGAAAATATTTATCACATTAATATTATTTTAATATTTTTAAAAAGCCCGTAGGCTAGCCCGCTTAGCTCGACCTGCCAATGAGTTGAGTTGGGCTGATGAAATTTTGATCTGCCCCGCCGCGAGTTAGCCTGCAAACAACCGGCTTATTTGCGGGTTAGGGTGGATTGTGGGTCAATTCGCCCCACTAACCTGTTTTGACATGTTTAGAAGAAATTGCAGGCGTGAGGGTTTGGATTTTGAGTTGGGATTTGAATAGTAAAAATTTTGAATTTGAATAGTTATATGATGTGATATAAATAGGTGTTGATGTGATATTTTGAATGTAAAATTGATTTTTAGTATAATATAAAAAATGAAAAATAAGTATTTAATTTGATATTTTGGGGGGGAAAAAAATGGGATGAATAGTGAAAATCTTCGCAAATCCTTCAAACAAACGCACCCTTAATGTTAATGTTTATGGTGTGGGAAGTATTTTTAAAGATCATCTTGGAAATCCAATTCTCCCTCTCCAAATCTTTCCGAGGACAGCCCGGCATCCATTGTTGCCGCTGAACCCATGGCGATCATTCAAGGGATCTAGTGTTGAATGTTTGGAAGTGAAAGAGTAGGGTGTCGATTCGTGTTTTTGGGTCGTGTTCGTATCAGGTTGAGCCATGGGGATAACAAAAAAAACTGTCAATCCGAATCCGAAATCTGACCTGAAATCCTAGACTCGAATACGACACGAATTCTTTCAGGTCGGGTTCAGGTTGACCTGAATTAGTTTCAGGTCATCCGAAATTTGAACAAACCCGACACGAAACAGACCCGAAAATTTAAGAAAAATTAAATTGACCTAAAAGATATCATTTTTATTTTAATTTTTATATTATTTTATATTTAAAATAATATAAATATTATAAATTAAAATAATAATAATAAAAATTTCAGGTCAACCCGAAATACGAAACCCAAAACCTAACCTGATTTTTATATTTTTGGTTATCAGGTCAACCCGAAACACGGCCCGAACACAACACGAATTTTTTTCGTTTCAAGTTCGGGTCGACCCGATTTTTTTAAACCCGAAATACCCAAACCCGAACCTAAAAAATTTCAGGTAGAACGGATTCGATTTTTCGGATCGGGTTTATTTTTTACACCCCCTGTGTGAATGAGGGAGGAAATAAAGATGAAATATCTCTCATCCCATATTAGAAAAGCTAAGCAATTCTACTCAATTATATAATGAACTTCATAATATTGAATTGGATATATTCGGGGCCTCGCCATGTGTGGGCTTGGCTTTGGCATGGCATGCTTGGGCTTGAACTATATTATAGTCAAGATTGGGCTTTGGTGGTCTGTGAGCCATGTGGGCTGAGCCCAATAATATAATATCCAATTTTATTTGTTTAATTTATTGTTTATAATTGATTAATTAAAAATTCAATTACCATATAAATTAGTTACAACGGATCGAGAACGTGCAAAAGTGGTGTGGATTTAGTGTGGTGATTTTTTTTCCTTATTCGTTTCATTCAAAATAACAAGTCTTACATTCACTAAATATATTATTAAGATAATTCTTTATTTAACTTCACTCAACATTAATATTTTCTCTCATCCATATGTTCTCGCCTTGAAATTTCTTTGTTCTTAAAAAATTATTCTTTGAAAAGTTCTTGTGATTTTCTTAGTTAGGTTCGTGGTGGGATTCTTGACTCCAATTCAATTTGTTATATCATGTAAAGCAATTGATGATGAGCTGAATTTGCTTTAAACAATTGGCATGCAATGTGAGGTTCAAATTTGACTTCTAATTCTTAAATGAAATTTGTTACTTGATCGGATCCGGTGTTAAATTTTGAGTTATTTCATTATTTTTTGATCGGATTTTCTCCTATCTTATTTCACATTAATATTTTCGCAACAATCTTGAAGCAAATCTCTTCGGCTGTGATAACTGAGATGGCTTACGAAATCCATGAGATCTACAACCAAATCGAGGGCACCCAAATTGTGCCTAAACAAGAAGCCATAATCGATGCCGTGAATGATGAGGGCGACAGAAACCTTAATGAAGACATTCAGATTGATGCAGATGGGGAGGAAAACGATGAAATAAATTCCAACGAATCTCACACCCCGACCCATTATGTTCCCCGGTCATAGCCACCTCGCACAACCGGTGGGGCTGCAGAAGGCGTTGCTGTTAGACATGAGGTGGCCAAGAGAGCTCCTACCAAGAAGGTTGTGAAAGCAACGTACGAAAATATCTTCAAGGCTGCCACGAAGGAGGCGTAGCCTGTTGCTGCGACCTCCAACCAATTATTTTTGGACTAAAAAGGAGGCATCTTATGGATGCCAACGTGAGACAACATATTGTTCTGCCTCATTTGCAACGTAAGAAATTGTGGAGGGTATCGTTGCGTCCACTAGACAACAACAACTAGATTGTTAAGATATTTTATATATTCAATTTTAAATTTAGTAGATTTGGTCTTATCTTATTTAGATTTGAGTCTATTATATTATATCTATTTATAGGCCTCTATTTTCGTTATAAATAACAAAACAATTTTCTAATTTTCATAATTTATTTCTCACATAGACAATTTGGATGGTCTACAACTTGTTTTTGTTGTAAACCACGTAATGCAACTTGTTGCTACTACCTTTAGGCAGCCCGTTGTTGTATCAACTGAGAAGCTAGAAAAAATCAACGAGAAGAACTTCAAAACATGGCAGTAGAAATGCTATTTTATCTGACTATGGTGAATCTGGTAGTCTGGCTAACGGAGGATGCACATTCTGTGCCTGAAGGATACTCAGAAGAATACAAAGAAATTCTGAAAATGCTTAGATTTTATGTGCAAAAATTATATATTGAATGACTTGAGCGACTCACTGTATGGTGTTCACCGGCGTACCGAAATAGCTAAGAACCTATGGAGGTTGGCAAAAAAAATACATAACCAATGATGCTGGTGCAAAGAAGTTCATCGTTGGACGGTTCTGGATTTCAAGATGGTGGGCAGAAGAAGTGTTATAAAGCAGCTCGATGATTTCAACGGATTTTGTATGTATTCCATCTGGGGGCGATATCTATCTATCTATCTTCTTTAATTGTCAATTGATCGATCAATATTCTGCAGAGAATTAATATGTAATTGCATGTGTGGTGTGAGATGGGAAGACAACCTTGTTGTGAGAAAGAAGGGGTGAGGCGGGGACCATGGACCGGGGACGAAGATTCGAAGCTCATCAACTTCATCGTCAACAATGACATTTAATGCTGGAGGCTTGTCCCCAAACTTGCAGGTCTCTTCTATACTACATCTATATCCAATCAAATACTAATGTTTAGCTCTTTCGAATTTAGGTTTCTTTGTGTATATCACTAGCACTTTGTGTCTAAGTTTGAGAATCAAGAATTTAGAGGTTGATGGGATATATATTGTCAATACTTGGTTAAATTTCTTTCATTAAGGATTTTCTCACTGTTTATATTAATTAATTTGAATGTGAGGTAGATATGATTTGATTTGATATGATTGAGAATTAAGGGGCGTTCCATACACAAATGGAATTGCAAAGAAATGAGAGTGGTGAATGGAATTATAAAAAAAATGGAATTGCATATAAAAATAATTGAGCATAATTAATTCTCTTGTTTGGTAAAATAGAGAATTCAGTTGAGAATGAAAAAAAAAATATGCGGATCGAATAAGAATAAATGATTAATTTGTCAAAATAGAGTTTTACTAATGAGAATTTACGAAAAAATATTTTTGGTGATTTTTTTTTAAAAAATTATAAATTATATACTATGTTTTGTAAGATCATATTTTAGTACAATTTTTTTAAAAAAAGTTTGAAAAATTAAATACTTAAACAATAAATTAAGTATATTATTTTTAAAATTAAAATAATATAATTTAAAAATTATAAAAAATTAAAAAGTACAAAAAAAAAAGATTAAAAAAAAAATATGCAACCTTCATTTCTCTCTGTTAAATTATTTATTTCTCAAGTTTGATTTATCTGACTCAAGCAAATAAATAAGATAAATGAAAACTGTTATCAATTGCCTGTACCAAGTTAGTTGTGGGAATTTTACATGAACAATGATATAATTAATATGTAACTAAAATTTGGAGAGATTAATTTAAACTATTATTTTCATAGAAACTTACAAAAATTTAAAACAATTGTCTTTGGTAAATTTAAACATACCATTGTAGCTTCCTCTACCATGGCTGCAGAATTTATCGCTTCCTATGAGACCTCTAATTACGTAATATGGCTATGAAACTTTTTCACTGGATTGCGTGTGATTGATGGCATCGAGAGGTCATTAAAAATATTTTGTGACAATAACTCAGCCGTGCGTTACTCCAATAACAACTCAAGTGCAACTAAGTCAAAGTTTATTGACATTAAGTTTCTTGTTGTTAAAGAGAGAGTTCAGAATAAACAAATTGCTATTAAACACATAGGAACGAATAATATGCTAGTTGATCCACTAACTAAGACATTGACATCTAAGATGTTCCATGAACACACTGCTCATATTGGTGTTGCTTCTGATGTTGCCCTAGGTTAGTGAGAGTCTATGTTCTATGTGAAAAACTTTCAATTTGTATTGTCCAATTTTCTCGAGAATAAAGTTGATGGATTTATTTTATTCTGAATTCAATTTAAGTTATTATGTATTGATCCCAATAATTTGGACCATTTGGAAATAGACATGATATTGATTACATTGCATGAAATTTCCATGCTGCTCACCATATTTGATCCTTATCACTGAGTGGATTAATATGGTGATTGTCGGGGTTTAACCACGATTTATAATATGGTGACTGCCTCGGTGATTCCATTGTTAAGTGCATGTGTTGGATAAGATTGTTAAAGGTAGTCAATATATATATATATAGTTGTGCAACTACGGATTCGATAATATAATTGCTCGGTAAACAATATTTATCCAAGTGGAAGATTGTTAGGAAAATATTTATTTCCCTATTTAAATATGGGCAAATAATAATGTACAATTATATTAATTATTCTAATTATTTGATTGACTTAAATTATATAATCTAATTATAGAAATAATCAATCATTTATTTGATTGACTTAGATTACGATATTTGATTATGGAAACAATCAATTATTTATTTGATTGACTTAAATTATGTGATTTAATTATGAACAAATCAATTACTACCTTATTGATATGGGATAAATTGAGTATATACCAAATAACCTATGAATTAGGTGATTATGGGTGACCCAATGATCACTATATAAAGGGCATTTGGTTATAGTCCCCAATACACTAAAATCGATCATTATTCTCTATTCTCCCCATCGCAATAGATTACGAAGGATCCATTAGGCAATTTAGTTAAGGAAGACCATAATACCAATTGATCGAGTTCACAGTTCCTCGTCCTAAAACTCGATGGATCCAGGTATATTTTGTCATGGTTTGTTTGTTTGTTTTTTTTTTTTTTCATATAAATTGCTATAAGACATATGGATTGGATATATGCCGAGTGCATTATCAATGAAACTTTTCCATCGTACAGAACTATTGGACAATTACTTATAGGCTACTTTGAATAGATGATTTAAGAAGCGTGCTAATGTTGTTAGGGAGATGATGGTAAGGAATTAATTTAGGGATCAAATGTACGTAGGTATGTACGTATGTATAACTAATTTGATTTGTGGTGCAAGTGTAGGTGGTCTAAGATAGCTGCAAATTTGCTAGGCCGGACAGACAACGAGATCAAGAACCATTGGAATACGAAGATCAAGAAACTCAAGAGAGAAAACCCTCTTCTTCTTCCTCCAATTGAACAGGAAAGTGAAGAAATAAAATTTGATGATAAGAAGATGGATGGCGATGTTAATGGCGGCAGCTCATGTCTAATGGAAATGAAGGAAGAAAATTATGAACCTGCTGGAGAGGCAAGTTATGATGAGTCCTCCAAGAATTTTGTGAGCTTTGGTCCTTGGCTACATGAACCTTTCCTCTATGATGGTTTCAGTACCCCTTTTGGACACTGCTTTCCATGATATCTAATGTATATGCATGTGTGTTTATTATTTGAATATTTTCACATGTGTGCCTTTTGTATTTTCATGGCAATGTCTATTATTATTATTATTATTATTATTATTTTTTATAACGTGGAAATTCGCAGTTGTTATCCGACCGAATCTAATAGTGATGCAGAGAACCGTATATATTTAGGACGAATTATAATTCAAATGGATAAACACCGCGTATTTCTTTATTATCAATCTTTCAACTCTAGCCATGGATGTTTTTAGGGTATAAATACTGAAGGAAATGCAAATAAGACTAATAAAAAAAAGTCACATATTTGGGTCCAACATAAAATAAAAAATTAATATATTAGATAATTAAAATTTTAACATAGTTGGATCGATCTTCTCCAAATATTGAACCGCAGCTTCATCTCCATCAAATAGTCTGACAAGACAAATCACACTAGGCGAACCATGTGTGGCAAGCAAAATCTAGAGGTATCGAATATTTGAACCCATGATTTTACGGTCAGGAGTCCATCTTCACCGCCACCGGGTCATGTCTATCTCTTATTATTTGCTATACAAAAAGACACTACGTAGGCTACACCTACATGATGCATATGTGGATACTTTATTCATACGTATGCAATCTTCTTCAACTATATAATTCTCTCCGTTCCGAATATTTTGTCCGCTTTATTGTAGATACGAGAATTTAGGAAGGGTATAATTAGTAAATAATTAAAAATATATTAGTGGAAATAATTATCGTATAATAAAAATAATTATAGATTAAAATTAAAAAAATTATAAATTAAGATTTTTAAAATAAAATTAAAATGTATAATTAAACTGACAAAATAAGTGGGACAGACGGAAATAGAAATATTGACATGAGAAGTGGGACGGAGTAAGTATTATGCATGTATGGATGTCTGCAAAGTAGAGATTAATTTGGAATCAAATTAAACAGGAATCCGCGATTTGCTATACCAAATTATTAAATTTCTTGACTATGTTCATACAATATTGATTAATATTTTTGACTATGTTCATACTCAACAAACCTTTTGGCAGTTACAAGCTCCATGTTCTCGGGACTTAGCCTGTAGAAAGAGTATGTCAGGTGTCTTTGTGTGGAGGGTAAATCTAAAACTGCTGTGCTAATAGCAGCATAATTTTTAAAGATGGAACATATTGATATTGCAAGCCTGCTTATAATTATCAACTGCAAACATAAAATATTTCCTCTGAAATGCCCAAGCTGACACCTAAGTATATCAGAGGAATAGCATAAGATAAACACTACATAAAGATGCATCAAGATAAGCAATGAATTGTCCCGTAATGGATGGCTGGTGGTGTGACCGTGAGGTCTTGAGTTCATTCCCCCGACAGCTCAAGTCATCTGCCACGCATGGTTTGCCTAGTGTGTCTTGCTTGTCGAGCCTAGTTTGCAGGATATTAGGTTCGGTCGGAGATTTACCCAGTGTGAATTTTCGGATAGCAGTTGTGCGTTCCCATATTATAAAAAATAACAATAAAAAAAATTATTTGCTGAGTGAACTTTCTTGGGAGGGGCAACTTTCCTTCAACTTTCTTGGGAGGCCGGTGCTACGCACGGTGTAATCGACGAAAAAAAATTTATAATATTAAAAATATGATAAAAATTAAAAATTAAACTAAAACAAAAAAATACATAACTGTGTAGAATTAAACATGACAGTGTGAAAATATGATTCCATATAATTGTACCACTGAATTATAAACGGTCATATGACAACATGGCAGTGTAGTTTTCAGGTCAATTGTTACGTCAATCGCGTTATGTCAACATCAACAATTTTTGTTAATTTTTTTAATGGTGTGACCAAAATTGATTGAAATTGATTGAATTTTTTTATATTAGGTCAAAAATTAATAAATTTTGATTATATTAGAACCAAATATGCTTTTTTCGCAATAAAATTTTATATAATACAAATAAATAAAAAAATTATGTATTCATCTATAAATAATATAAATTAATTTTATAAAAAAATAAAAATTTTTAAGTATAGATAAAAGAAAATTAATACTATTATATACCGTAAAAAAATTAAAAAAATTAAATAATTATTTAATTGGAGTATCAATTTTCTTAAATATATGTATATGTATATTTGTATAAAATAATAAATAATAAAATATTTCATCTTTACATTTCTTTCCTTTGAAACATTGAGCCAAATTGAATTTCAATATTTATAGTTTACCTATCATATTCAAAATTATTTGTACATATAATGGATCATAATTAAACAATATATATATATATATCGTAGAATAGACAGTAAATTTAAGAAATTTAATAAATTAATAATGTGCATTTATTAAGATTTTTAATAAGAACTCATTATTCAATCTTTAAAACATCATATTAAATTATTATTTATTATGTAGTTTTTTAATGTATTATTTAAACAAAACATCTTTTTGGTTTATTATATATATATATAGTATTTTTAATATATCTTAAATTTTTCAACATAATCAAATAGTACTTTTATTTGAAAAACAAAATAAATACTATTTTAAATTTGCTTAAAAAAACAATTCAAACTAACTTTGACAAAACAAAAAAAGTTATTTGGATCGCGGACAATGAACATGCTTGAGCATATTTTTTTCAAACAATTTTTACAAATATAAAAATAATAGTAATATATAACAATATTAACAATTTCTTACTCCCCCGTCCCATGTAATATGGGTGTATTACTGTATACACAAAAATTTAGGTAAAGTATAATTAGTAAGTAATTAAGAAGTATATTAGTAAGAATAATTATTATTTAGTAAAAATAATTATAGATTAAGATTCAGATAAGTAAATAATTTAATTAAAATTAAGAAAATTATAAAATTTAAATTTTAAAATTTAAAATGCGATTAAAGTGCATAATTTTATTTCAAAAAATAGAAAGGACAAGTTACGTGGGACGAACGAGAATAGAAAATATGGACAAATTATGTGGGACGGAGGGAGTACATTTTTTTTTCTTTATCCTTACTCTTGCTTTTCTTCCCTCGTCATCAATCAAAGTTTACTCTCCTCATACATCCAATGGAAACAGTGGTGGGAGTCAAAGAAAAAACTTACAATACAAAAACGGAAAATGGAAAACGAAAAACAGTAATCTTGTTTTCTCCCTACGCTAGCCTAGCTCTTCCGTGAACTACAAAGCTGCCTTCACCGTTTTTAAATAGTCGCTGCAGGCTTCCCTTGTGGACTTCCGCGTTGAAACGGAATGAAGTCGGGTCGTTTTCCTTCGATTTGATATGCTAAAGTCGGCGGCGATGGCAACGTAACCACGCGTAGTTTTTTGTCCAGCATTTGATGGAAAGGTGGTGTTTGAAGGTTTTTGTTTAAAAGAGAAACCAAGTATATACACATATATTTATACACGTTGAAGTAGATATAAAAATATACAAAAACTCTTCAATTTTCAATACTCATTATTAATTGTAATAAATATAAAAACTATTCGACTTTTCAATACTCATTATACATGTAAATGTACACACATCTTATAAAATATGAAAAAAAAATAAAATAAAATAATAATAATAATAATAATAATAATAATAATAATAATAAGTTTTGTAATAACAAATATATAATAATTAGAACCAACCAAATTGCACAATTAATTATAAAAAAAAAGATAAAAAAATTTTAATTATATTTTTATCCATCTATTATATTATAATAAAAAATTATCATAATATACATCTATCTATTCCTTGATGGATCCCATAATAAAATATATTTAAATTAAAAATTTGTAATATACATCTATTATATATATAGGGTGTGTTCGTTTGTAGGACTTACACAAAATTCTACTATTCATCCAAAAATTTCCCCCCAAAAACATCAAATCAAACACCTATTTTTTATTTTTTATATTATATTAAAAATCAATTTTACATTCAAAACATCACATCAACACCTATTTATATCACATCATACAACTATTCAAATTCAAAATTTTTACTATTCAAATCTCAACTCAAAATCCAAACCCCCAAACAAACACACCCTATTATTTATAAAAATAACATAAAATCAGTTACAAACGTTTTCTATTTTATATACAAATTATAAATATTATTTATATTTAAAAAATAAATAATTCTATATATTATATATGTATAAATAATTAATTAAAATATATATCTTCAAATATTCATTTATATTGACTCATATTTATATATTAACTCATATTTATGTAGCAGTCAATAAAATGTTATAACTAATAAAAATTAGAGAAAAAAAAATAAAAATACTATAAATTTTTGCTTTATTGGAAAAAAGAAAAATACAAAAATATATTGTCCACACTCACGTGTATATATATATATATAGCAATCAATCAAACACTCCAATCAATCAGAAAAAAAGAAAAAAAATTCAAAATAGCTAGAAATTCATGTTTTCTGGGATAATGAGATCCACACTGAGTTCAAATATAGATATATATATATATATATAAGATAAGATAATCAAATATAGATATATATAAGATAAGATAATCTTATCTTATCTTTTATATATATATATATATTTGAACTCGGGGTTCACCAAAATGTAAAACATGAATTTTAAGTAATTTTAAATTTTTTTTCTTTAATTTTTTTCTTTAATTTTTTATTGGTTGTGCAATTGAATTGACCATTACATGTAGTAATTTTTTATTCTATTTACATAATGTGTGAGACATGCATAATTTATATATATACTATATTTAATTATTTATTTCATAATATATGCAAATTATATTAATATAATTATATCTTTACTATTTCTATTTTTTTTAATGTAAAAATTGAAATTATAATTAATATTTGTTTTTTAAATATGTGCTACATTAATAAAAAGTAAAAAAAAAAATATTCGTATATTGTAAATTTAGAATATTTATATGTATATATAAGATATTTTTATAGTTTATTTTACATTATTTCTAAAAATTAAT